TGCGAGGCCTCTCGGACCACGTCAGCCTGGATGGCCAAGAGCTGGGAACCCGGAGTGGAGGGCGTCGGGGCAGTGACAGCGGGGTCCGTGGGGGTCGGCACCAGCGCAGCGTCAGCCTGTAGCCGAAGAGCCAGGGTGACTGGCTTGGATCTGCTGCCATGGGCCAATCGGGGCCTCTCTCCGAGGTCCCTTCTCCAGTGCTGCCCTGGGAGAGGCCAGCTGTGTTTGAGTCCTCTGTGTCTGCCCTGGCTTTCTCACAGCCTTCCCTGCCCTCAGCAGGCAGCTCTCTTGGCCTTACCCATTCCGAAGGCTTGCTCTCGGGCTCTGCCTGCGTCGCCCTGCTGGCTCATCACACTCTGCAGAGCGTTGACCCTTTGCTCTCCCTTTCTTCTCCTCCTCCCATCTGGCTTTTTCCCTCAGGGAACTTGGTCTAGAAGGCCCTAGGAAGCTCATCAGGAGAAAATGGGTGCCGGCTGAGCACCCTAGCTGGAGGGGATGGGCAGCCCTGCCCCCTTCCCAAGGCGACTCTGGAGGGCACCCTCGGTACACTGCTGAACCCTGTACCCCTGTCCTGTTCCAGCCGGCCTGTGTGTAACCTGTAAGGTGTACTGTGTGCCTCTGGAAGACACCACCCTTCCCTTTAGCATTCCCTTTCGAGACCTGACTACTCTGCCATGTGTGCCCTGAAGCAGAACTTACAGGACCTGTAGGGAGAGAAAACCCAACCCCACTGTCAACATAGGGAACGTCACCAACTCCAGACTGACTCCTGTGGGTATGGGGTTTCCCCAGCTGGGCTGGGTCCTTCACATTGTCAAGGTGCTAGTGGGTGCCTCACAGGCCAGGTGTTGGGGTGAAGTCATGGTGAGGTCCTGAAGGTGCAGGCCCCTGTCATTCCCACCCTCACACTCTTGCTGCACAGCTGTGTTTACTTTTTCTGGGTAGAGGATGCTGAACTGACTCTCGGCACCCTCCTGCAGGGTGGGGTTAGAGAATTTGGTGCTCAATTGCTCTCCCTTGCTCTTCCCCAGACTAAACAATACCTACTGCAGGATCCCTCAGGGCATGCTCAAGCTTGTCTGCCAACCCTCTTTCTTCCTTTGTTACAGGAGGGGTTGGCCAGGGGTGAAAAGTCCTGCCCTCCGCAAGGAGCAGCAGCTCCAGCTGCCTGGTAGTGCTCCCAGACTGTAGGGAAGCCACACCAGGTCTGCGTGCTTTGGGATGATGGGTCCTTCCTTTGGTCCCCAGGAGAGTGGGGAGCCCTCGTCTAGGCCCGTGTTCTGCCAGCGACGGGGATGAGTGGGCATCTGCACCCTGCACAGGTGTCTCCAGTTTGAGGGGGTTGGTCACAATGAGAGCCTTGGCGTTTGAGGTGGCCTTGGGCAGAGAGTGGCAAGGGAGGGAGGGTGTGGGTGTGTGAGCGTGCGTGTGCTGGTGTGTAGGGGGGAAAGGATCTTTCCTGGTTTTATTTAAATAAAGGAGTTTATGAACAGTTAACATCTGCTGTCCCTGCTGGAGGAAGAGCAAAAGGGCAAAGCTGAGGCAAGGGTTGGGGAGGGAAGAGCAGGGGGAGGGGGGAGGGAAGAGCAGGGGGAGGCAGCAGGCTCTTCAGGTGGTGTGCTCAGGGAAGGGCGGTGAAGGACCAGCTGGAGCCAGCCGCCCTGTGCATGCTCGTGCAGTGTGCAAGGCCACAGGGCTGGGGCGGTCATGCATCGGGCAAGTGTAGAGAAGCAGGGGAGGGTTTGGTACAAAGGGGCCTGCAGGGTGGAGTGGGCTCTACGTCTGAGCTAAGAGGTGAGAGTTCCCAGAGGGGTGGGACCCTAGATGTGTTTAGATGTGAACATGAAGGTAGAGAAGGGACAAAAGTAGTGATGCCAGATTTATCAGATAATACAGTCTGCCCACTTAAATTTCAGGTAGGCAGTGATTTTTGTCCGCTGCAGAGTTAAGGACTACATTACGAATTCTCCATCGTGTCTCTGAAAGTAAAACCTAGATAAAAGGTGACTCCCAAGTCGGGGCTTAACTGGCTGGGTGATGGGAGGGGCTTGGGGGCACTTGGACTCACAGGTGGGAGGTCGGGTAGGGATGTGGGCTTCAGGAGCTTTGAAGAAGAGCAAAGGCCTTGTTTAGCCTGAGCTACGCTTGTGGTGTGCCTGTATTTGGAGTTGAGAAGAGGTCAGCCAAGGGAAGAAGAAGGTGCTGGCAGGAAGACTGGAAACCTTGGAGGTCAGGGGGCAGGGTGAAGGCCAAGAACTGGAGGCACGCACTCAGCGGTGACCCTGGTGGCTGTGGATGCCATCTGAGGGGCCGTCTAGGCCGCTTTGTACCGAGCACTATTTGGACAGCCGCCGTCCAGGATTTTGAGATTGCCCTCCTGACTTGGCAGATGGGTGTCAAAATATTTTATTACTAGAAAAGCTGCTGTGAAAATGCATGGCTGATGTTTTTGGGTGAGTGGGCTTTAAATTTTTAAAATTATATATGTATGTATAGGAGGTATACAACATGCTATTTTGATGTACATAATGAAATAGCTATCAAATTGGCATATCAGTCATTTTGCATAGTTACCTCTGCCCTACCACCTAAAATCTACCCTCAGCCAATGTTTAGTCTATAATACAGTATTAGAGTCCTAATGAGTGGGCTTTCTGAGATGATAGAGTGTTGGACTTCCCTACCCAGTCACTGGCAGGCAGGACCCGTGAGGCTGCTGGTACAGAAGAGCCCCAGAAAAGAAGGGCTATGCCATGCACATGCTGTTTCTCCTTGCAAAATCACCTGCAAGATAAGGCAGGCAGGAAGAGAGACCAGGAGGGTTAGAGCCAGTGGTACTTCTAAGGAGAAGAAAACAAGCCGCAGCACTTCCTCTTCCCACCTAGACACAGCAGCTTACTCACCCAATGCATTCCACCCGCCAGGAACACCCCTAATGGATCTTCACAACAATGCTATGACTTCCTTTTCCACAGTGAGAAAATACGGCATAGGTGACGCTATGATTTCCTTTCCACAGTGAGAAGATAAGGCATGGTGGGGGCACTCAGCATTCCAGAAGGTAACGGCGGGCGGCAGCTCCCACGATTGTGCCCTGGAGCTCACAGGAGATGAGGAAGGGAGGCAGTTGTCTCCAAGGGAGTTTTGCTGGGAAGAAGAGCTAAGAAGTGGGAATACTGTTTCTCAGCTTTCTTTGCCAGCAAACAGGGTCAAGAAATTTTGTTTAAGGTGAGCAAGAGATGGTCAAGCTGTGAAGGACATAGGGCCTTGTCCCCCATTCCTGTACCAAGTCGTGTTATACATCACGCTGGCTTGTTGGTAATGAATCGTTCTGATCTTCATCTTCCTCAAGTGTGGGGCAGGGGCCTTAGTCTACCCAACACCTGACACGCCCTGCACCAGCAGATGCCCAGGAAATGTGCTTTCGCTTCTTGCGCCGTCTCTGCCCACACCTCTATCAGCTGGCTTTATTATCAGTTTAGAAAGTAGGAGGTCAGGGCCTGGTGATGCACAATCCCAGGGTCCCATCTCTATGGAATTCTAAATTTCATTATGTTTCAATTTTATCACTTATAAAATGGGAGCATCTGGGCTACAGTGAGTTGTTAGCACGTCTTTGCAGCAGCTTCAGGGTGCTTAACCCACGGAGGCTTCCTCCCACGGTGTGATAGACAAGAAGACTGTAAAAGGGTTTGACAAGCAGGACAACCCCAGTGCCTTTTAAAAATTTATATTTTTAATTTTCATTTTATTATCAGACAGGGTTTTTACTCTGTTGTCCAGACTGGGGTGCAGTGGTGCAGTCATAACTCATTGCAGCCTGGGACTCCTGGGCTCAAGCATTCTCTCTGCCTCAGCCTCCCTTGTAGCTAGGACCACAGATGCACACCCTGCTAATTTTTAACTTAACATTTTTTTTTTTCTAGAGGCATATTGCAATGTTGTCCAGAACTCTTGGACTTAAGCAGTCCTCCCACCTTGACGTCCTAAAATGCTGAGATTACAGGCTTGAACCACTGCTCTTTGCCCTGCTCCCCCCTCACCTTCCGCCCCTTTATTTTTCTTTGTGACACTTGCTGTAGCCCGGACTGGAGCGCAGTGACGGGATCTCGGCTGACTGCAAACTCGACCTTTCTGGCTCAAGAGATCCTCCCAGCTCAGCCTGCCACGGAGCTGGGACTACAGGTGTGTGCCACCATGCCTGGCTAATTTTTGTATTCTTTTGGAGATGGGGTTTCCCTGTGTTGTCCACAGGTGGTCTTGAACTCCTGGACGTAAACGATCCAACGACCTCGGCCTGCCAAAGTGCTGGGATGACGGGCGTGAGCCACCATGCCTGGTTATACTCCCAGCCTTTAAACGTCTTTTTAAATTGACATACTGTAATTGTACGTATTTATGGGGTGTGGAATCATCCCAGCTGTAGATGCTCTTACCTCTGCCTGGCGGAAAGCGGGGGAAATGGCCTTCTTGGGCTGTCAAGGTCTTGCTACATCAGCAGGGGGCAGCAGCTGCCGGAAAGTGGGCAGAGCCTGTGGCCTGAGTTTCCCTGCGGCCACTGCGTGGTCAGCCTCATGGACACTTTGCAGAAGGGCCTGGAAAACTGCACGTAGAAGGGTGGGGTGTTTATACGCCAGAATGGAACCTAACTGTACTTCTGTGTCCTCGAATCGCCTGCCGTGTGTGAGAGCTGGCTCAAGTCTGCAGTGCAGCTGGTCTTTTGAGGTACGATGTTGGGTATCTGAAGATGGCGCCCAGTTCTCAGCTCACCTCCTTCCTTGGCCTCCCTGGTGCCTCTTCCCTCTCCCTTTCCACAGCCTCTTCAGAAATTTCTCCACCCATGTCTGCTCACCGTTCCTGAGCCCACACTGCTCATGCCCTGGGATGACGGAACCAGGAGACCATAAACTGGCTGGCAAATGGATATGGGTCGTTTACTAAGAAATGTTCTCCAGGATTGCTCCGTGTGCAAATGCTGTGGCAATCTTGTCAGGAACACTACAAACTCCAGTGCTGCGGATGAGTCTTCCGGGTTAGGAATCCAGGTATGCACAGGTGCTGCAGGGCAGTGAAAAATCGACAACCAGGCCAGGAGGGATGGCTCACAGCTGTTATCAATTTGTTTTTTTTTTTTTTTTTTTTTGAGAGTGTAGTTGTGCCGCCAGGCGCCAGGCCGGAGTGCAGTGGTGCAATCTCGGCTCACTGCAACCTCCCCCTCCTGGGTTCAAGCAATTCTCCTGCCTCAGTCTCCTGAGTAGCCGGGACTACGGGCATGCGCCACCATGCTCAGCTAATTTTTGTATTTTAGTAGAGACAGGTTTCACCATGTTGGCCAGGATGGTCTCAATCTTTTGACCTCGTGATCTGCCCGCCTCGGCCTCCCAAAGTGCTGGGATTACAGGTGTGAGCCACCATGCCTGGCGACTTTTTTTTTTAATTTTTATTTTTTGAGATGGAGTTTCGCTCTTTCACCCAGGCTGGAATGCAGTGGTGCGACCTCAGCTCACTGCAACCTCTGCCTTCCAACCTCTGGTTTCAAATGATTCTCTTGTCTCAGCCTCCGGAGTAGCTGGGGTTACAGGAGACCACCACCATGCCTGGCTAATTTTCATATTTTTAGTAGAGATGGGCTTTCATCATGTTGACCAGACTGGTCTCCCTGGCCTCGTGATCCCCCTGCTTTGGCCTCCGAAAGTGCTGGGATAACAGGTGTGAGCCACTGTGCCTGGCTGTTTACTTATTTTTAAAAATAGGTTCTCCCTCTGTCACCCAGGCTGAATAGTGGTGTGATCATAGCTCACACCACTTTGGAAGGCCAAGGTGGGCAGATCACTTGAGGCCCAAATTTGAGACCAGCCTTGGCACCATAGTGAGAACCCGACTCTAAAAAAAGAAGAAAAAAAAATAGCCAGTCATGGTGGCATGTACCTGCAGTCCTAACTACTCCCGAGGCTGATGGGAGAAGCTCCTGACCCCAGGAGTTTGAGGCTGCGGTGAGCTATAATCACATCACTATTTCAGCCTAGGCGACAGGGGAGAACCGATCTCTAAAAATAAGCAAATAAATGAAATAACTAATGAGGGCTGCAGTCGAGAAATCTGGGAGGTTACAGCTGGGCACTGCTCTCTGAAGCTCTGAACCAACTCTGTGGTCTCAGTCTGGAGAGGTGGCTCTGGCCCCAGTCCTCACTCTTCCCAAATCTGTCTTGAGCGCCTACAGCCAGGGCCCGTGGCTGGTACCTTCCTCTAGGACGGGCTCTGCCATGGGCACCACTCCCTGCTCAGCCTGCTTCTCTCCCATCCAGGTTCTCTCCTGGCTGCTTGAGCTTTGCCCTGCTATTGTGCACCCATTTTACATGTCCAGGAAGGGCAGAATTTTGATGAATTGATGTGGTGCCAGCTATATAAATGGGTGTCATAAATGGGGATTGAGTATGTTTGCCGAGTCTTAATTTAGTCCTTCACCTTTGCATGACACAGGTCTGTCCTTGAAAGAGATGCAAACACCATCTGTCCCTCATCAACATGGCAGGAACCCTCAGACGCTCCAAGAGGCCCTGCTATCCTGAGTGGCTGCCAGGGGTTTGGGAAGTGGTGGGTGATCTCAGGCTGGGGGCTGGATGACTTAACACCCTCACATCTCTTCATCTCTTTGACCTGTGTCTATCCACATGTTATTAAGGGTAGGTAGCAGTAAAGCTCCTCACCTGGGATGATAGTGATTAAGGAACAGCTTTGGCCCTGCCAGGCTTCTCTTCCTTCCTGCCATTTTCTTTAGAATGAGAAAACTATTGTTTGCATACATTATCTTGTTTTCAGAATATTTCCACCAAAACATGTGATTTTCCTCATTTACCTTGTAACTTTTCTGTCAAGTCAGTGAAATATCAGATGTTTAGTACACACAATAAGTGACCAGTAGGCAAAGGCTTCTATAATTTTTGTTAGTATTATTGATGAGGAAACAGATTTGCAGAAGCCAAGCAATATGCTCATGCTGCCGTTAGTGAGTGGGCCCTGAGTTTGAATCCGTAAGAGCAGTCGTTCGTGCTAGTCACTACATACTTATTTCTTTCCCTTCCCGGATGCATGTTGGATTGCACTTCCCCACCCTGCGTGTGTCGCAGAATGACTTTGACACCAGCTTTGGCAAGAAGTGACATTTGTCACTTTTCAGGGGAAGCTTTAGGAGCTCCTCTAGGAGGTTCACGTCATCCTCTTCCTGCCAGGCAGAGGATGAGCAGAGTGCTTCTTTCAATGCCTACTAGACATGGAGTGTGGGGAGACATTGTTTGGCCACTGGAACTTGGGGTGTGGAGGTTTCTACTGCAACATAATCTAACCCATGTGACAGATACACCAAGACATGATTACACAATCATGGACACGTGCTTTTGGAGATCTGTGGATATGAACTCCCCTCTCATCCACCAATCAGAGCTGATGGATGCGTTCTTTTTTCTTTCTGCCACAACTGATCTTTTCATTAACTGAACCCTTTAATGATCGGTTAGTCCTTCTCAACAGGGAGGTGAAATTCCCTGGGAAGTGTTTTGGTGACTTACGGAGGTGTTTTAGAATGGTTACAGTTATTCTTAGTGGCAGTGGTGGTTCATGCCATTTCATGTGCAGAAAATAGGGTTGCTGGACATCTTGTAACGTTGGGGATGGTCCTGAACAACAAAAGATTGTCCCACTCTCTCATGACTGTAAAATGTCTGCATGGACAGAAGTTGTGATCAGTTTTACATAGGAATGCAAAGCATTTGGTAGCATAACTTTTGGACTGAATTTTCCAAGAATGCAGCTATCACATACATATAGAGAGGATTGCCTTTTTTTCCTCTTGTTTGCTCTGCAAAGGCTGCCAGGAAAGGGGGCCTAATGCAGCTGCAGGTGAGGAGTCTGCCCCAGTGGTCAGGGGCCTGGGCTGAGAATTGATACCCTCTGCTTCCGGGGTCCAGGGCCATCCCTGTGTACCTCTGGCGTGTCCACCTCACGGAGCACTGCTGGCCCAGATCAGTCTTACCTGGAGGTAGAAGAGGGAGCCCCTCCCCCCAGGAAACCCTCAAGCTGGAAGTCCACAGTGACAGGTGAAGCATCACGTGAAGAAGTCTCTCTGAGTACAGTGAATTGATATATGTAGATACTGTGAAAAGACTAAAGCAAGCTAATTAACATATCCTTTACCTCATGCACGTATCATTCTTTGTGGTGAGAACATTGAAAATCTACTCTTAGCAATTTTCAAACATACAGTACGTTATTACGCAGTATAGTCTTCATGTTGTACAATTGATCTCCATCATAAATGTACAGGGAAATGCTACTAATGATTAACCTGCTTGTCTGCCGGCCCTGGGCACTCGTTGTACACAGGTGACACCCACATGGAAAAGTGGGGGAGGAGTGGGAAGTGGTGCTCTTCTTTCGTGCTTCAGAGCAGCCTGGGACCTACGCCAAAGGTGGACAGTACACATGTTGGGTTCGACCACCCCTTTGTGAGAGAGTCACAGGACTGTCCTAACTGCCCTTAGTAAAGGGCTGTGCATGGGCAGGAATCACCTCTGCTTCCAGGCATTAAAGCCAAACCTGGAGAGAGAGAGGGGTGTTGTCAGAGGCTGAGCTCACTGCTGCCAAGCGTAGAGTTAGGCAGGCTCTCTGGTGTCGTCGCTGCCCCCCGGTCACTCAGCGCTGCCCAGAACCCCTGGCCCCTTCCCCACTCCACCGCTTGCCCTGTGGACGCTGATGTGGTGCTTTTCCTTTTCCCGCCCTGGAAAGAACACATCTCCGAGAAGTTGCCCCGAGGAGATGAAAGTCGGTGGCGAGAAGGAGGGACAGCACGTGGGACCTGTGGGTCTCTCCCCACTTGCTTTGCCTTGAAAGAGAAATAAAACAAGTGTTCCACTGCTCCTGCCCACCCAGGGAAAGTCTGATTCTGGTTTTGAGACCTCTTCACGCAGCCACGAGACCCATTGCTTGGCACGGTGCTGAGAATGGACAAGCCTCCCGTCTCCATCTGTTCCCCACAGGGCTCTGGAATCTCCCTTCTACCTGGCCTCTTTCTCTTTCTGAGAAGGAAGTAGAGTTGTGTGTCACATCTTATACCACCTGGAGTTTATCACTGGTGATGATTCTATATTTAAGGAGACCCCACACAGGCTATTGCATGCCATTTCACTAATCTTAGAAAAGCATCAATGATCCTCCAAGTATCTGCATATGAATTTAACAAATTACAGTTCCCCAAATGTATACACGCCTCTACATATTTCCTGAGACTCCGAAGACAAATGTATTCATTTCTAGTTAAATACTTTAACTCCCTTTGCACACAGAAAAGACACACACAGTTTGACATGACTCCAAAGCCAAGCCTGTGTTGATGTTACCTGGCGTCATGTCTACGTGCCATAGCTGAGCTTCTCCCTTTCCCTAACTCTGCTTATGTTTAAGAAATAAGATGCTTGAGGTGAAAATTTCCCTTTGTGACCAGACCAGCTGAGACTGGTTAGAACCAAGATAGTCAAATAAAAACCTCAAAAAGATCTCAGGCTTCATTATAATCTAATTTCCATGCGAAATGACACGCTCACCAGAGACATGATAGCTGAGAACTGCCATGACAATGACCAGAAGAAACCATAAAGGACACACAGTTCTGAGAAGTTCACTACCTGTTTCCAGAAAAGACATGACTGTTTCCCCCATTGCTTTTAACGTCTAACCTCTTCATTAGTGAAAGCCTGTTATTTTAATCCCTCACCCTTCACTAGTTGAGAAGTTAATTTGCAAGCCATGCTTTTGATTCTCTGCTCTTTGGCCATCAGATAAAGCTTGCTCTGCTTGACACTTGCAGTTTCTTGTATTGACTCTGACACCCAGCAGGGAAAGATCCCATCTTTTTGGGCTACCAAGTTTATCGGTATCACGGACACAGGTACAACCTCTCGCAGCTCCAATGCCAGGGACTGATCATTGTTGCCTTTCTTGTCAGGTTCATGACTACGCCAAGTGTTGTGCTTGGGGTCAGGTTCGAGCTCAC